AAATAATTCAAGTTACTCTTGTCAGATACCAGAGTTGTGCACCAAATGTTTGTTAGTGGTAAGTGGTGAGCATTTATGCAACTGAGAGCTGATTGTTGATATCTGTTGAAGGTAGGCCTTGCTTTGTCATATGCTTGGTTACTTAGGAGAGTAGTTTATGGCATTTCTACTGGTTAACTTTTATTGCATAGTTCACCTCTGAGTGGGTGAAAAAAATGTAATTAAAAATGGTATTATTACTGAATAAGTCACTATTTAAACCTCACTGAGAATATACCAATAATTAAATATTGTTTCATGAAATCATTCATTTACCCTAGAAGTGAGTAAAATTCAGGTTTTTAATAATAGTTGATTCAAGACTGCTGGCAATGAGAGAATCCATCATCATTATATATGTATGTTTATGAACATACAAAACTGTACATGTGTTGGTGAATTAATTTATCTTATTTAGATGAAATGGGAGGTGGGGTTGATTGGGAAAAAAAAGTGCTTGGTTCTTCGCTTGTAACAATCTGAAACACATTTTGAGATAGGAAATTCTACTTTTATTTTGTTACGGTTTTGTTTACCATTCATTTCTTGTTCCTTATATCATTTAGTTCAATTAAAAATTTTTATTTTAGTTATATTAAAACACAAACTTGCCTTCTAGCTAGAGCACATTGAATTTGAGTACGTTTATATTGTGAAAATGACACAAGCGTCCCCCTACTGATGATGTACAGATATTAATGTTGTGAAAGATTATCTAAATTAGCTATTCACATGAGATGTGACTTCGTGGTTTAACCATTAAATAAAAACCCTGCCTTGAGCTTAAACAGACTCAGTAATGTGTTTTAACTTTTATCTCATGAACTTCTACTAATCTGAATCTGTTTAAGCTCACAGTAATGTGTTTTAACTTTTATCTCATGAACTCAGATTAGCAGATGAGCTTAAACAGATGAGTTCATGAGATAAAAGTTAAAACAAATTACTGCAGATTGTTACTCTATATTGTTATTGATCTTGAAGTGGTTTGATTTTGGAATATTGTTTCTTTTTTTTAGTATTAGGTTTTTTCTTCTTCTGGCTCTTTTTCCTAATTCCTTTGTTTATTTAGATGATTAATAACATTGATATTTATATGGTGTTGTTCATTAACATTTGTATCAAATCCTTTGGGCATGTATTTATAAACTGTAAAGGATAAACTTTGTATTCCAGTTGTTTGAAAGTTTTTATTTTATTTATGTGGTTGTTAAGTTTAATAAATCAATTTTTTGTTCAACCCTTGTTTTAGTGGTGGTTTGTTTTGGTACATTACAAGATGCTAAACAGTCTCTTCTGACTGAAGTTTTATTAACCCAGGAACATATGGTCACTAGTGTCTTAAGATGAAAGCTTTACCAAGAAGATAAATATCCACCTAGTTCATTACAACAGACAAAGTTTGACAAATATGTCTTTCTAATGATTAAAATAGTCATGAATGTCACCTTTCCATAAGTATATCTGTATTCAGTTATATTCACATAATATTGTTCTAAATTTCTATGCAGTCTTTGCATATAGTTATATTATTGCTGTTGACTGGGTGTCTCAGGGTCATAAATGTGCTAATCCTTTTTCACAGTTAAGAAAACTTACTGCAACCTTTGTTCTTAAGTTATAAACTAGCATATATATATATGCATTTCTATTTGGAATTCTTGGAAGGTATACTATTCAAACAGGCAGAGCAGAAACCTGTACAACTGACATGGCTTAGGATTGTATGTAAACCATTGGTTAAAATATATAACTGAGGACTTGTGGGATACCTTACTAAGGCTTTATTTTGCCTGAATATACAAGTTGGGTATTTTCAGAGTTTTGCTTCTTAAATTTGACTCTTGCTTTCTCATTCCCAGTAGCCAAACAATAATCATACTGAAACCTGGCTAGTTCTGATAACATTACTATGTTGTCAGTAAAGAATCGTATGTTTCAGAGTACACTTGTTTGTCTTTACTATCTGTGTTCAATGTATTCTTTTCATAATTTTATATGTGGAATATTGTTTTTTTTTATGAACATCAGTGAACCTAAATACCACATCTTGAGTGTGCAGGCAATTTGATTTTTATAGTTCATTGCTTAAGGGGGAAAAAATAAAATATATTGTCAATTGTTATATTTGGATCATTGTTAACTATTATTATTATTATTTATGAAAAGTTAACAGTGATCCAAATATAACATTTGACAATATATTTGGATCATTGTTAACTTTTCATAAATAATAATAATAA